GTTGAGGCTCGTGTTCTGCCGGCTCCTTGGGTAAATGGGAACACAATTTAATTTCATGTTATTAGCATCTACATTGAGATTACTGAGGGGTGCAAGACATGTCTCTATCACAAACAACTATCACAGCTTGCTGTTTGTGGATTAGGCTAAATTTGAGAGTGACTGATTGCATCATTTTGATTGTGCAGCTTAAGTACCACGACACCGGTAGAGAGAAGGATTGCTTGCCAAGAGTTGGCCAGTGGAACATGATGAATAAGGTATTGCATTAGACTGCTCTCTTAGTCTTTTTTGGTCATTAAGCCTGCAGCTCCTCTGTGTTGATTCTGCTATTAGTATTATATGCTTGCATCCATTGATCATACTAAAATACACTTCTAGCATCGTTGACGAATATATTTTTTCTTTTTTACGTATGTGTGTCCATGCATTGAAAAATTTAGAATATATTATCTGCTAGAGGCTGAAAGTGCGAGCACCATTGCTCATATGTTAGCCATTGGATACTTCTGTGTTAATGTCTATTCAATGAAGAGAATCTGAAAATGTAAGGATTCTTTGAGATTCCTTTTTTAGATGTTACTCAATCATTTCTGTTTATTCACTACTATAGTCATCTGGTATCATTTTAGCCTTCTGCATGTTATTTGTTAGTTGTGGAATGGTTTCTGCATCAAGCTGTGCATTTTTCATACAGTCTCGTTATTTTTCTGATATTATCTACTTGTGTTGCTTACAATTTCGCTTGTTTGGCAAATTGTAGAAACTGGTGAATGGTGGGAGAGTGAACAACTGGACATGTATCAGTTTTGCACGGAATGTTCAAGAAAATGTTGCTCGTGGATTTTGTCGTGAGCTTGCTCAGATGTGCCAGATATCTGGAATGGTATGTTCTTGATCGTTATTTTTTGGAACACATTATAATTTCCATTCATTGCCTTGTATATGATGTAAAACATTTTTGCAGGAGTTTGCTCTAGAACCTGTACTTCCTCCCTTGAGTGCTAGGCCTGATCATGTGGAAAGAGCTTTGAAGGCACACTATCATGACGCAATGAACATACTCCAACCTCGGGGCAAAGAACTTGATTTGCTCATTGTAATATTGCCCGATAGTAATGGTTCTCTTTATGGTATGCTGTTATGCACCTAGTCTTGATTTCTGCAACATAATGACATTGCTATGCTAGTTAATCAGTCTAAGCGTACCTTCTTTTCAGTTTGATCCCTGCTTCTCACTTTCCCAATGTTCTCTGATGTACAAGTGTTATAATGACAGGTGATTTGAAGCGGATATGTGAGACGGATCTCGGTTTAGTTTCACAGTGTTGTTTGACTAAGCATGTTTTCAAGATAAGTAGGCAGTATCTAGCCAATGTTGCTCTTAAAATAAATGTGAAGGTTGGTAGCTGAGCTTGTGTTATCTGTTCCCTCTTTCCTATCACTGAGCCCTGAAGAATATTTTTATGAATAGGTTGGTGGCAGGAACACGGTTCTTATGGATGCCTTGTCAAGGCGTATACCATTTGTCAGTGACCAACCTACTATTATATTTGGTGCTGATGTCACGCATCCTCATCCTGGAGAGGATTCTAGCCCCTCTATTGCAGCTGTAAGTTCTTTTGCTGTGATGTTTTATCTGGATATTAATTCTTACCTTGGTTCCATTTGCTCTTCAGGTTGTAGCTTCTCAAGATTGGCCTGAGGTGACAAAATATGCAGGATTAGTATGTGCTCAGGCCCATCGACAAGAATTAATTCAAGATCTCTTTAAAGTCTGGCAGGATCCTCAGCGTGGAACTGTCACCGGTGGCATGATCAAGTATGAATAGCTTATTAATCTATAGCCAGCTCTACAGAATTTGTTGGTTTTTCTTTCCCTGTATTTGTTGTTGAGCTAAGAAAATCATCTCATACCTTATGGGCTATGCAGAGAGCTTCTTATTTCCTTTAAGAGAGCTACCGGACAGAAGCCTCAGCGAATTATATTTTACAGGTATGCATTTAAGAAATTTCTTGCCTATTAATATTTTTTGTTATGATACAAACTCACAGATGGTCCTGTCTTTCCAGGGATGGAGTAAGCGAGGGGCAATTCTATCAAGTTCTACTTTATGAACTTGATGCAATCAGAAAAGTAGGATATCTGGTCTCCATAGATGTTATTATTACAGTGCTATCATTTTTAAACTTCTTTTTCGTTGATGTCTCAGGCGTGTGCCTCTCTAGAACGAAATTATCAGCCACCAGTGACTTTTGTGGTGGTTCAAAAACGTCACCACACTAGGCTGTTCGCCAATAATCACAATGATCACCGCTCAGTGGATAAGAGTGGAAACATTTTACCTGGTTAGCCACATTGTGTTGCCAGCAGTTGTTCTGTTTTATTCTTTCTTTCATTATTATGACTTTGTTTGATCTTCAATGTTGATTTTGATGTGTTATTTGTTTACCCTTGGAAATTCTAGGAACTGTTGTTGATTCTATGATCTGCCACCCTACCGAATTCGACTTCTACTTGTGCAGCCATGCTGGCATCCAAGTAAATTTCTCCTCATCACAATTTATCTATGTTATATGCATTTATTTCTTTATTTGCAATTTTGGGGACCTATCTGTGGTGGCAAGATCTGACCATATTGAATCGAACATGAAGGGCACAAGCCGTCCTGCACATTACCATGTCTTGTGGGATGAGAACAATTTCACAGCTGATGCCTTGCAAACTCTGACGAACAACCTCTGTTACACGTAAGATTCTATCCCTTTAATCATCCACCTTCAGTGCTGTTATGCACCAACTAGTTATCCATACGAGATTTAACCTTTATTATTACTGTGCAGTTATGCGAGGTGCACGCGCTCTGTATCTATCGGTATGTCTGCCTTGCATTCTCTCTCTCTCTAAATTTCCCCATGGCTGAATCGTTCTACGGTTTTCTGAACAGTGCCACCGGCATATTATGCTCATCTAGCTGCTTTCCGCGCCCGGTTTTACATGGAGCCGGAGACATCTGACAGTGGTTCAATGACAATTGGGGCAACTGCTGGACGTGGTGCTTCTGCTAGCGGACTGAGGACTCCAGTTAGCGCAGCCGTGAAACCTCTTCCAGCACTGAAGGAGAACATCAAGAGGGTCATGTTTTATTGTTAAGCCTACAAAACCCCCCTCTGACTTGTATCGCTTCCAACTTCTGTGGTTCCTTTATGTTGACTGTTCCTTGTTCATCATCGCACACGTTCAACTTGGACTTCGTATCTGCCATAATATAATCGAGAAATCCTTCCTTGATCTCTGTCTTCTCCAGCTTTTCACCGTTTTCAGGTTCTATCTTCTCAACTTTCTATTTTTATTTTGGAATCTCTTTTTTCACATTGTTTTCTTTCCCCAGTGGACTGCTTCGAAGTCGTAGCATAGCGCCATCAATCTACTTGTCCTTATGTGGCCACTGGGAGTACGTCTGCACAGGGATGCATGTGCTGCAGATGGGCATGCACGTCTTCTACAACATAGGATTCTCCTCCCAATGGACCCCTTGTTGTTCGACACGCTTGCTGTGTTTCCGCACGATGTGCCTCTCACACCGATCGAGTGCGCAACAGTGTTGTGATATCGTGTCTTGTGTAAAGCTATTTCAGTCGTTCGATTGTATAATAAACACGCTCATAAGTTCATGAAACAGTCAGCAGTCAGCATACGGCCAAACAACGGATAGGCTTACAACAAGCAGATGATGATTTGGTCACGCAATTGTTGTAAAGCCATGGCGTGCACTGTTGTTGTTCTCCATGTGAACCGACTGGATAGGATCACGTGTTCTCTTATTACCAGTAAATTCACAGCAAAAGAGGGAGAGAGAAGAAATAATTAATCCTATTATTAATTTAATGAATTTACATCGCTAATTCAGTCAGTATACCTTTGTCTTTAAAATAATTTAAGCTCCAATTGTTCATAAAATATGGATTACAATCTTTCGCATTTAAGATTGGTTTTGATATACAAATCTTATTAATTTGAAGAACTTAAATCTCATATATAAATCCATATATTGGGAAAGACAGAATTCAGCCACAGTCAGTAGCGACTTGCCGAATGAGAGAGAGAGAGAGAGAGAGAGAGAGAGAGCGAAACATGCCCTTCTTTTGCGTGTCCGGAAGGACGATCGACATGACTCGTCAGTCCAATCCTGTTGATCCAAGACGAAGCACGCGACGTCCCGCCTTCCCACGCCCGGCTAAATGTAGCAAACAGTTCCAATGCCCACGGAGCAGCGTGCGGCCACGGCGCCGGGGACGAGCCTTCGCGGTCGTCGCTGACGAGGTGCCGACGACAAACAGGTGGTGGGCGAAAACAGCAGCGTCAGGCTAAAGACCACGAGAAGAGCTAAAACCACCGCCCGCCCCGCAGCGGTACTCAACATGTGGCCTGGAGTTTCCGAAGGCTGCGGCGATAAATCTCCTCTTCTTCTATCGGCACAAACATTCTTCTCGTGCAAGATGAAGTCTGCAGTACAAGCTGCATGCACTAGGCAACGGGGTTTGGACTCCTCAGTCGTCACGCCCACATGCACGGAAGCACATGACGAGCTCTTGCACCGCAGCACTCTGCGAGCGCGCGCGAGGGAGAGAGAGACGACGGAAAGGTGTATGATGATATGCTCGATTAAGCAAGAAACACAACGAAATGACCAACTTCTTACTTCTATCTATCAACCCACCCTTTTGTCATCATTTATCGTTCATTCTACTTGTTTACGATGATTCACTTCTCTTCCATTTTCCACCGCCCTTTCCAAAAAGAATCGATTTGATTCTAAACTATTTATGGATAAATAAATTGACCTCAATGAAAAGTCAACCCCTAGAGTTGACCAGTCAACCCTAAGTTTTCGATTTTAAGGTGTCTTTTCTATTCTCTTTGATTATGATGCCAACTATTTTTTAAGAATTTTAATAATATATTTAACTAAAAAGCACACAATATATTGATCAAGAAATAGAGAGCAAGGAAGGAATCACCATAATTGGGAACCAAGACAAAGATAATTAAGTCCTACAACACTTGCTAAGCAACAATAACAACAACAGCAGCTTTATCTTTGAATGACCAAGTTGAAGCCACACAAACCTAATAAGCTTCTCTTCTTCCTCGGCCGCCTACGGGTTGCTCCTCCTTGAAAGCAGACTCCCATCACCGTAAGGTAGACGACAAGAACCTGACTTCGTTTCTGAGTCCACAGTGGCCATGGGGATGCCGAGCTGCCGTTCTGGCTGCGCCATTCCTCCCCCCTGCAGGCTTCTCATCATGCTGCCGACCCCAAGGAAGTCTCTGGTTAGCCTGTCGGATCCTCCCATGGCACCCGACGATGGATTGCGGTGCAGCTTGTCCTCGTCCATGCCGCACAAGCCCGGATTGAATCCACCCAAAGCAGCAGTCTCCGTGTCATTCCCACCGCCAAATATGCCGCTGCTTCCGTTCGCCAGCGAGTGCATAAGGTTTTGGAGGTGGTTCTCGTTCTCCACTTGTGTTCTTGAGCTCTCTCCGAGGCCGCTGCTCTTGGAATCGTCTCTAAGGCTTGCGTGCTTCGAACCCCCGGCGGCGGAGTACGTGATTCCGAAGCACCCGCGGCTGGACGTTGCGCCCATTTGCGCGGCCTTCTGAAGCAACGCAGTGGCGGACATCTGCGGAGCTGCGGATTCGCTGTGTAATGAGGAGGTGAGCAGGGACGACATGTTCATGTCGATGTTGTTGCTCATGAGATTCCCAGCGAACAGCGTCGCTGCTTGCTCGTCGGTGTTCATGCAACTGCGGCTGTTGGAGAAGAAGCCCAGGTTGAAGAGGTTCCCAGCTGCGGCGGCAGCGGATGATGGTGAGCAGGAGGCGTTGGTGTTGGTCGGCATGTTCTGGAGAAACGGGGAGCCTCCATTGAGCTCCTGGCTCGAGCCGCCGCCGGGATAAAAGGGCGTGGGTTGAGGCGGAGGTGGTGGACGGAAGGCCGAAGCGGTCAAGTGGTCGAACTGCGTTGCACCGCCGCCGCCGCCGCCGAGGCGGAGGAGGTCAACAGCTGAGGTCTGCAACGAGCAGAGCTGCGAATTCACCTGAGGAAGCCCGGAGCTGATGCCGCTGTTCCCGTACAAGTCGATGCCGCTCGGAACCCGTGCGCTTTCTTGTGCCAACGCGTCGCAGAAGGCTCTGTGGGTGATGAAGCTGTCACGCCTGCATCAATCGCCGGATGAAGAAGCAATCAGTGCCAATGCAAGAAGAATAGCTTAATTCGGAATCGTCCTGCATCAATGCAATGCCCGATGCATCAATTACATCGATCAATCGACGCAATGATGCGTCATAATTGCTCATAGCAATCATCTCGTAGAAAATGTGAGTCATCTCATGGCGACCAATTTCCAGAGCAATGTGATCAGCTCAATCGGTATCCACCCCCACCTGTGGTGCTCACTCATTTTAGAACAAGCTCAGTGACTGGTACACACACCTCAAGCTTTGGGAGAAGAAGAACGATGTGTGGTCAAATCCAAATGACAAATTTTACGAGACGGTCAGAACCTGCAGCACCGAATATCTCCAAATCACAACCCAACAAAGCAACCTGTCAAGCTTTGCCTCCATGTCACCACGTGAATGGGAGAGAAAGAGAGTGTCATGAGCTTGGCGTTCGTCTCGAGGACGGAAAGATGAGTGCCTTTTCTGGAATCCCGACGACCATGGCAGTTTGGTTCCATTGTGACCATTCACGAGGGAGCAGTTCTCCTCCCTGATCCACAGATCTTTGTTCTGCAAACCCTAACCCTAAACCTACTAGCTCAAGAAACCCTGATTGCCATGGCGCGTGCGAGGGTGTGTGCGTGTGAGTGAGTGCAGGTGCGAGATGAGTGAGACCTGCGGCGACACGACGGCGATGAGGATGATGGGGTGGACGGTGAATTGACTGGATGGATGGATGGATGGAAGGAAGGATGCATGCATGTAGAACCTGGAGAAGAGGGTGCCGCAGTCGCAGCGGTACTCGCGGGTGCCGCAGGTTTTGGAGTGCGCCTTCCAGTCCGACTGCACGGCGTAGCGCTTGGAGCACTTGTCGCACTTCCACTTCTTCTCGCCGTGCTTGCGGCAGTAGTGCTTCTTGATGCCGGTGAGGTCGCCGAGGGCGCGCGAGGGGTCGTGGTGCACGCACGTCGGCTCCGGGCAGAGGTAAACCCGGCGGCGCGCCTCCTTGGGGTTCTTCTGCTTCAGCTTCCACGGCAGGTTGTGGCCGCGCCGGTGCAGCTGCAGGTTCTGCTCCCGCTGGAACCCCTTGTTGCAAACCTCGCACACGAACCGGTTCGTGGCCAGCAGCGTTCTCGGCGACAAAGCTATGACCTCCGCGTCCGGGTCTGCAGTTTCGATCGACTCAGTGAGTCAGGAATCAATCGAAAAGGCGAAGCAAGTGAAGGGATATTAGGCTACATGGATTCCCAGGGAGCTTCCTCTTCTTCTTTGGCGGGGGAGCCGCAGGTTGGGCGGGCAAAGGCTGCTGCTTCGGCTGCGGCGGTTGCTTGCCGTACTCATCCTCCTCCTCTCTAACTCCAAAGAGAGGTACCGACGACGAGGCCGCTGCCATCTTCTCGACCGAAGCAGCAAAACAACAGTGACCTTTTCGGACTCTGATGACAGTCGTGTTGTTGGTGTCTTCTCCCTCGGCAGTCACACACCACTGTTCGTATTTGGTGTCTGTCAAGGATCACTGACCAGTCCAGATTAGAGCCACAAAACAACCCCTCGCTAGCCAACACAGAATCATGTGCTCTCCTTATTGTTACGCTAAATTAGATCTAAGAGGCAGGAGGAGAAAACAGGAAGAGCCCAAATCTAAGTACACAGGTTGTGGATCTACAACACCCAAGAGACAGTCTTAACCAAAAGCCTCCAAATTCCACCCCCTGACTCTCTTACTGTCTCTGCTAGAGAACAAAGCGGTCTTGGAATCCAAACAAACAGTTGCACTCAAATGACGAGTATAAAAGGGGATGAGAGGAGTAAAGATGGAACAAAACAAGGAGGCATGGGAGGGCGAGACAGAGAGAGAGAGAGAGAGAGAGAGAGAGAGAGAGAGAGAGAGAGAGAGAGAGAGAACTCGGAAGAAGAAGAAGAAAGAAAAAAACCTCCGCCCTTCCCTTTCTCCTCGTCTATCTTCTTCTTCTACTCCTCCTTGGGTGGAGAGAGAGAGAGAGAGAGAGAGAGAGGAGTTCCTTGTCACACTTTTCCTTCTCGTCTTCACCGCGAAGGATTGGCCGTTTCTTCGTTCCCCATCTCTTCTTGCTTGCGCCTTTACACCACAAACAAATGAAGAATAATCTACCGGCGTTTACATGAATGAATTGGATGAGGGAGAGAGAGAGTGGTGCAGTTGACGCAGCAACGGTGTCGCCATGCGGCGAGGAGCGGGCCCCGCGGGACTGTAGAGCTTACACCCTCCCATCTCCTTTGCTGGGTTGGTGTCCCCTTCACGTCTACGCAGAGGACAAAAGCCAGCCTCTCCATCCCTCCCCATTCTTACACCATATTGGTAACTTGAGCTCCTTCCTACTTCGAACGACTGTTGTGCGTCACCAATTATATATACAAGTATTTATGCGCAATATTAAGTAGAAACACTTATTTCCTTCTAAATTAGTATATATTCTTTTACAAAGATAAATAATAAAAACCAGACATGATCCTAATATTTTATTGTCTAACATCCGATTTTCGAACCCTTAACCACAAATGAATAAATTATCGGATGAAATTAGTATTTTATATGTTATTTTTTTAAAAGTATATATAGTTTTTATTCAAAGATGCATAGTGGTGGAAGGGGAATCTATGACAAAGAAATAATAAATTAAAAAAATAATAAAGTTCTATAGGGAAATTTGATATCTTTGACTCCTCTCTCTCCCTCTCTTATAACACATACACACGTACATATACACAGAACATAAAATAAGAAAAGAAAAATACTTTTACTAAGCAAAAGAATCATGTCAACCGAAATTGGATTCAGAAACTTCTATATAAAAATATTTGTGATGTATGTATAAAATAAAGGAATTCATAACACAAGTTAGGGAGTAGGATCAGATTATGGGATAAGAAGAACTTTGATTACATGCCAGTCAAGCCAAAGAGTCGATTATCAATCTTGGTCTTTTGTGTTTTGGGATTCATTAGTCCTTTGACCAATTTATTTCTACACTACAATTAACTCCACTCTTTTGGTCTCTCTTCATGTAATGTAGGAATCCAAAAGAATGTGATGGATGAATAAGATCAACTTAGGGGAGCAAGTAGACCTTTCTTCCCCTTAGTTTTTCTCTCTTGGTCACCTGCTCTTATTCCATGGCATGGTTAAGCATATGAGGTTTAGAATTTGATCTTGGTTATGAAGATAATTACTGCATGGCACTAATTATGGTGGGTGGAGTCAGTAGGTATCAACTCAAAACCTTTTGTTCTTGTCCACAAGAGCTTGTTCTTTGCCCACTTGGATCTCTCTTCCTTCTTCCTACTACACTGACAACTAGTTTAAAGGTAAGAACTTGAGGGAGTGAGAGAGAAAACCTTCTTTTACTTTATTTACTACATGAAGAATTGACTCTTTGTAAAGCAAAGTGATGATGCATTCATTATCAAGGAAGAGGGAGCTTAGATCTCTCATCTCAATGTCAATGTTTGTTGGATCTAAGAACACATTACCAAAGGCATGCTGACTCCTTTCTCTGAGCAGGTTATTGTTGGAGCTATATGACAATGCATTTAATTTCAGACAGCTTGTCTTGTCCTGGTGGAGCTTGTTCCATGATTGTCCTACATTATCCAAGTCAAATTGTCAGTGACATATGAACTCAGTGAAAAGTTAGAGTTACCAACTTCTCTCCTAGTGTTTCACATATGATACATATTTTAAGCTATTTATTGAGAGTATATCTTGTTCATCATTGATCATCTAGCAGCACTAGTGATGATACATTAGGAACATTGGCTGAGGTGATCTATTTGACCAAGTCCATTTATACAATAATAGGAAAAATCAACCCCACTTAAATATAAACATAACATTTGTGTAGATGTTATTATGTACATTATTTAACATAATATTAAAAAAAAGAAAATTGCATATTAGTAAAATGATATAAAGGATAATTACATGGTAGTTTAAACAATAAGATCAATAATGCTTGTCAAAGCCCAAATCTAATCCCCTACATCAATCTTAATTCAATGCTAGCTTACCTTTAATGTGGTGTTCCTTTTAGTACCAAAGCAACCTCATAATGCAACTACTACTACTACTACTACTTGATTTTGAAGACACAACAGAACCTCTCAAATAGCAAGTGTGTTCATGCAACTATTCATCAACAGTGTGAAAGATAGTGATAACACAAGGACATATGACACTCACAGGAACCTAATACAATTGTTTAGACAATGACATCCAAACCTGAAATTTTGGAATATAAGATCTCCGACAGTTTGATATGTCCCCAACAACTATGAATTCAATCAAGTAGATGTAAGTTAGGTGGCTTTTTTTAAAGATAAATCATATGTTGAAGCATTTTGCTTGTTTATATTGTAATGGATTAGATATAAGCATTTGTCAAAAATAAAAATAAAAAAATAAAAATTTTCTAAAATTGAGGGTCATTAGTGCTCCTTGTGCTATTTATTTATTGTGTTCTTTCGATCTTAATATTATTGAGAGAGAATATATTGGTAGTTATCTATGTCTTATAATATCTAAGTGACACTCGTTCAGAACAAAAATATATAAATAAAAAAATAATTAATGATTGAGAATATCGAAGAAACTATCAATCAAATCGATAATTAATAAAATAATTCAAAATTTTTAATTTCACAAAAGAGATATCCACAATATTCGATTCAAATAAAATAGTATTGCAGATTTCATATTGAAGAACTCAAGGTGGCAAAATTTGAATGGGAGCGTAGAGAGAGAAAAATAAGAAGAAGAATATTTTGTTTATATCTGAATTGTCATTAGTTTGTTATGTAATATTCCGATTTAGTCTCGCACTAAAAATGAACAAATATTAAGATTGTCTTTTTATTAACTTCAATTTAAATATTTTATGTTAATGGTTCGAGCTCAATAAATTTAATTTATCAATTATCCCATGAAATCAAATCATAACATGAGAACTCATATTTATTTATTTTATTTTTGACAATAGACATGAAAGAGGATTGCAAATATTTTCACAAAAATAACAAGATTTAGTGCTAAAATGAGGTAGGAGAATGATGATGAGAACACTAATGTTGAGGATGAATCCATCAACTTTTTCTCTTTCATTCACTTCTCCATCTTTCTTTGTTTGTTTGTGCTACATCCACCATTCTCTCTCCCTCCCCTCCTTTATTTAAGAAAATAAAGAGAAAAATTACCTGAAACCATTAATTAATATTAATTTTATTATCAATTATTTAAACTTATCAAATTAGTGAGTCATGATTGAATGTAGTACCACACATGGTGAAAAGCTCACTTATCCATATTTTGTCTTAAGCAATTCACTTCAACATTAACTTGATAAAATTGTATTTTGCTCCAATGAAAAAAAAGTAAAAAATGAAAGAGTTCTTATCTAACATTATTCCTTGACACACCATGAAATCAGAGGGCTGGTCATTGGGAATTGGGACTACAAAGCTCCCACCCCATGGTAGGAACAACCCCACATCCTTTTTTTCTCCCCTACCTTTTCACCCACCTAATAGACAGAGAGAGAGAGAGAGAGAGAGAGAGAGAGCTTCAAAGTCACCACAGCTTTCCACCTAAAAGGTGAGAGAATTGTCACCACATTCCTCAACAGGGGATGTTCTTGTTTGTCCTCGTGGACTTACACCCTCTCAGGCCTCCACACTTCTTCCTTGTTCTTTACCAAACAGATTGTTGTCTTGGAATAGATTCCATGATTCAGAGCTAAAAGACACTCTGCCAAAAGGCTCTTTGCAGTACATCTCAATTAGCTTCCATGTAAAGAAGAAGATTGGAGTTGATTTGTTGGGGGTACACGAGATAAACCTAAATGACAATCTCATCACTGGATACTATCATATGGCAAATACTGCCTCATTCATTCATCGGAGGAGTGCAGTGGATGTAGCCATGGTTGTCTCACTCAGGAAACATCAAGTGCCTTCTGTTTCCCTGCCTTTCTTCACCCTTGTGTTGCTTTAATCCATTGATACAAACTTTGTCGAGTCACATCAAGATAAGTATTTTTGAATTCTTAAATTTCTATAATGACATTGATCATATTATACGTGTGTCCGTATGAACATCCACGAGATTTTTTTTTTCATTATAAATAAATTATCTATATTTCATATTATAAGTTACTAGTTAATATGCTACTTATGACGCACTTTCAAATAAACACACATACAAAGATAATGAGAAGATAATGGATTCATCCTATACTATGTTGAGGGCATTCTCGATAAAAATTCATTCGACGATTATATTAGTAGAAGATTTGAATGATTCTTAAATTTGTGAGAGTCTCAAGAGCACGTCTAGAGGATTTTTATTATGTGCAGAATGACTATTACACTGAGGTAGAGGCTAATATTGGGAATAGTCTCTTAGACTACTATTAGACCATAAGATTGTAAATCACAATGTCAAATATTATAGTTACAAGGTAATGATTTTATAAATGTTGGAGGTTGCCAAATGTCCCTTCGATCGTATATGTTGCCTTATGGTATAGTGTCATCATTAGTGTCGATGTTGAATTATCATCTCTATTAGACAAGGGTCACCATTATTATCAACATTGTCTTCTTGTTAGCATTGAGTTGCTATCATCGTAGGATAATGATCTAGCTAACATATTATTGAATCGATCATGTGCCAAGCCCCATATATCATTTACCCTTTGTTGTATTTTCACACAAAAAAAAGGGGACAAAACACAATGTTTTGGTAGGAAGGTTGCCAATACTGTGATATGCTGTGAGTAACTTATATTATTTAGTGGTTATTTCAAAGCTAACACTAGATGCATTATCATATGATAGTGCTTT